AGGGAGCAGTTCAGACGTTACAACCCAAGAAGCAAAGGCCATCCATGCCAAACAGCCTAGAGCAAAGCATCCAAGAGCTGCTGCTCTCTGTGTGATGATGGTGAGAGAAAAGGGTGTTGTGGCATACCTCACCTGCACACAGACACCCAGCAATGCACAACTGGGATCCAATCCCTGAGGTGAAATCTGCAAAAGTCTTTGAATACGCAGAAGAGCACTAGTACTAATAATACAATGTCTCCCCACTCCCCCTCCAAGCAAAGGAGCAGCTGTTGCACTGTAGAAAGGGCAGTGAGAGCATGTTTCTCCCTGCAAGAGGGGCAGTGAATGGGGGTGGGATGGAAGGGCAGGAAGCTTCTATACACAACAGATTTTCACTTAAACAAAATACCTGTACTACAGGAGTCTGATTCCCCTATTACACAGTCTGTGCCACCACAATGGCTGAAGGGGCCAGGGTCCCCCATGCAGTCGGGGCAGAGCCAGGAGATCAGCACAGGTTGGCAAGTGCCACCCTGGAGCCCCAGCCACGTGCTCCCAAGCCCAGAAACCAGAGGCATGGCTTTCTCTCGTAAGCTACGCTGTGTTGCATACTCCAGCAACAAGTTATAACCGACCTGTGAAACAACACTCAGGAGTGAGGACCAACATCAGATCATCCCAGAAAACGCTGAGGAGAGGTGACAGTAACAAGGAGGGTTATGTTTAGCCTCACATCTGTGCTGTTTGAAAGCTCTTTTCGAAAAAAAAAAAATCACTAAGAATAAATCTTTTACTTGAAAAATATCCAGCCTGATAACTAAAAAAACAGCCTAAGAGTATGGGTAATTCAGTAGAGAAAAGGTGTTGAACAGAAAGGGTCTGGGAATGCTGAGAGCAAGGAGCGCACAAGCAAGACCACCAGCACGGGGCAGGATTCAGGGAAAGCAGCTGTGTGTGGCATGGACAAGGATGCTCTCTCCCTGCCCGCCCTACTGTTTCACTGGGATCATCTTGCAGGGGAAGGGACAAAGCCACGTGCTGCTTCTGCTTCCCACAGCCTCCCCTCCTAGGGCAGTGGGAACTTCATTCTTCCCTGAGGTCTTGCATCCCTAAGCCTGGCAGAAAGGCAGATGCCAGGCAGGAACTAGACAGCTACTGGTGTAGGCAGCCCAGCATGGGAGGCACACAAAGTTTTTGGAACAGGGCCTCCAGTACACATTTGACACTCCACACTGTAGCCTGGCCCCACAGAGCACTCCTACACCTCTTCCGAAAAGCATCGGCATTTCTTTCCCAAGCCTCCTTCACCACACTACACCTGGGCTGGAGCTGGGCCTGGACAACATCCCACTGCAAGAGCAAGTACCAGCAGAAGGGAAGGAAGGCACAGGATGCTTGCTTGGGACCAACTCGAGCACATGATAGCACACACACTTGTGAGCACATTCCCACTAAGTCTTCCAGTGTCCCAGCTTCTACCAGGAGTCAAGGCATTCACGGTAGCAATAGAGACCTTTGCTGCCTGCTGCACTCCGATCCCAGGAAAGTAGCAACACACGTTGTTTGACCAGTCACCTCTCCAGCAAACAACTGCCTGGGGCATGGAAACCAAACGTAGACAGGCCCAGTAGGGACCTTTCCCCATTACCACTTCAGGAGAAGGCCTGAGCCCCGTTACATTTTAGGGGGTTGTAAATCAGACTTCCTCCAAACCCTAGATACATTTCCATCTGTCACTGACCCACCTGCACCCAGCTGAGGTACGGAAAGACCGGCTTAGAGGTCAGCTGAAGCCCCACTAGCATTACTCCTGCGTGTTCAAATCAGAAACCCAAATCTCTAATCTGCTTCACCCTGAAGTCACTTAAATTTAAGCATCACCTCCTGGTCCTGCTGCTTTTGTATTTATGTTTATGGTCACAGGTATAATTGTTGTACTAACGGTGTTCTAGTTGCTATTATAAATATAAAAATTCACATGCCCATATAAAATATATGGGCAGGCACGCATATGCGCACACACACTCTTCTACCTCTTGAGAAATGGGCCCGTTCCGCTTTCTTCTGCTACTGATAAAATATTGATTAGGGAATTTGAAAATTTGAAATGATTTAGGAGTCCCTGGATGGGAAACGTAATGTACTGTGCCGGTCGCATTATGAGCCATCCATCACCTGTCAGCAAGCAGCAAGAAAGTGACAGAATCAATACAAACGTGTCTGAAGATGGGTTTAACTCATTTCCCTTCCCCCTCGGGCAATGACTGGAGCATCCCAGCTGTAGGACAAGGGAGGCTCAGTAACTAACACAAGGCCAACCTCAATCTACCCAAAGTGCAGCGGGGTTAGCTTCTTCCTCAGCAGTCCACCCACACCAGAGCCAAGAGAAAAGACCTTAACCACGTTCCCAGGGGAACGTATAGAGGGCAGCCAGTAAGGAATTTCAAATTCTGGCCTTGAGGGCTTGATTCAGTTGCCTCACTGTCAACACATACTGCTGTTTGAGATGATCCAGGGTACCCCAGACCTCCACACAGACTCACTTACACAGTGCCTGTAATTTCTGGAGAAAGAGCACCCCAGAGCCTCCCCTATGTCACTACATGCCGCTCTGAACAACTTGAACAAGTTATTTGTCCCTAAAGCCTGCCTCAGATGTTAAACGCTTTCAGCTCCTGCCTCTCCAAGTACACAGAAACTTTACCCCGTAACACATTCCCGGAGACTCATGGAGCATTTTTCTGCTTAGGAAGGAGCAAAGCAGGCTAAACAATGCCACATTATGAGTCCCTGCCTCACTTGCCTGCCCGCTGCTGCCTGTTTCCTCCCCGCGCACACCCTCAGCGTCAACTTTCCTTCTGCACCACCCATCTTTGGTCAGCATGGTCTGAGCTGCTCTTCAGTTCATTACACCATGGAGCTTGTTCCATAAGTACTTGTTGTTCTTACTAGGTCCAAGAGTCTTTTAAAATAAAAAAAGGAGGAAAAAAATCCGTCAATAGGGTGATATATTGTACTCCCATACTTTGCAGATGGATTCAATTGGCCTGTGATCTTATTTTGCAGATTCCCTTAGAGCACTGTAATTTATCCTGCCAGACATTTCAAATGAGACTGGACAGAGCACTGGAGAAATGATGGGAGGAGAGAGCTCTGCCTTGCTCCCCAGGAGGGACAGAGTGACCAGCCAGGCTATTGCTCACGTATTATCAGAATTAATTATTCAGAGGGCACCGCAGGAGGGGATAGCAATACAAGGGCAGCTCAAACAAGGCCAACAGAGCAGCCTGGTCCCAGAGAGGCTGGTGCCGCAAGCACCCCACAACTCAAGCCTGCCCACTGTGGGCCACATAAGAGGGCAGCAGGAGCACTCACTGCAAAGCACGCTGCACGGGTCAGAGGATGGAGCAGGGGAAAGGGGTCGCTCTACAGCACCAGACACGTTCTGACCTGCTGGTGGTGAGGTCATGAGACCCACGGACCCTTTGGGTGGGAGCAGCAAGGATCTCCGAGTCTGCCCAGGTCTCACCTCTTGACACGCTCTTCTCTGCAATTGCCCAAGGCTTGCAGACCCCCTTGGAGACACCTTCAAAGCCTTGGAGAGGTAGCACTGGCCAATAGGTAGGCCAGCAAACACTTGACTTCTGGATGGTTGCTTTTATTCTCACTCCGTTTTTCTTGCAGAGGTGAAGCTTCAGTCTTCAGGCAGAGTCAAACCACGGAACGTGCTTTATGAGGCTTAGCCTTTCTTCAGTTAGCAGCAGAAGCCAGAAAGGCGCAACAGCCCAGCTATGCCATTTCTGCTACTGCTGATGTGGCTGGAGGTAAAGCTTCTTACATACAATTTTCTCACTTATTTGGCTTTTAATTCCGTTATTTAATAGACTGCAAAAACCTGAACGTGGGAGTCTGAACTACTGTATCTGTGCAATTCACTCCAGACAGGTCCCTTCTATCTTACCATCCCTAATAGACTCTATAAATGGTTTCCAAATCCAGCAGAAGTGGTCTATTTGCTGCCTAGTATACCATGTAATCTTTTGCAGAGGTGGTATTGATCTTGTTAAACTTGCAGCCATTGAAGCCTCAGATGTGCCTCAGCTTTTGCTTTCCTCTAGCAAAGCAGAGCAACCTCTTCATGCCGGTAGCCAGGTAGCAAGCAACATGCAGGTGACAGCACCAGCCACACTGACCTGGAGACAAGATGGTCACCATGTTTGCAAGAGCAATTTAGCTGTCAGTAGAGCCATGGCTGCAGGGTACTTACTCATAAGCAACACCCAGTCTCAAAAAGAAACGTCTGAGTCATTTTAACTGCAAGGAACAGAAACTAAGGACTCTATCTCAGCTCATGACAGGTACTAAATGCTGAGCCCCAGAGCAGTTCTGCTGGTTGCCAACGGATTTTTCACAGTAAGACTGGCTCATGGCTCTAGGCTCACTGCTCCTAGATGTTCACAAAACTCATCTACAGCAGCCTTCCCAAATTCCGCTCACTCATCCACTAAAGGAGAAACTCATGTGGTTATTTGCACAGCTCTCTCCAAAGAGATATAGCCATGGCATTTGGCAGCTGCCCTTCTTTCCTGCCAAGCCACTCTAGATGGCCTCCAAGGCAACATGCCTTCTGTCTGTGGCAAGGAGCTGTCTGCACTTCCAGCCTCACCTGCTGCTTGGGCCCTGCAGGAGAGGAGATGGCGAGTGTGCAGTGAAGCAAGAGCTCTGCTGAGGTAGGAAATGGTTCCTGAAGAGCTGGTCCAGGATCTCACACAGACTCTTGTTGATTTGCCCCTCATTAGCAGGTGTCATTAGCAGGCACTCATCATTATAGCAACCCTATCGCTTACATGAGACAACCATTTTGTGTGGGCCAATCCATCGCTTTCTCTGCTTTTCCCACCTCTTGGTCAATACTTATCACTACAGATCCCTGGAACAGCTCATACCTTTTCCCTAAATTGACATAGGCCTGCTGGGTCCCAGTCCCTCCCCCCGAACAGCTCGCAGAGGCGACTTACCAGCATGAAGGATAGGGAGCAGGCAAGTAGTGCAGCAGGAGGCCTGTGGCAGATCTCCTCACACAGACAACCAGGCTCAAGTGTTCAGAGACGTGCTAGACTCCTACATGCATCATGCTGAAGTAGACATGAGTTTGTGATGTGGCCTTCCCTAGGGAAGTTTCTTTGAGCCTGGAGCACACTCAGAGATCCTCCCCTGCACTGCTTGGGATGGCTCCAGAGCTCCATAACCTCGTGTAGGCACAGCTCGTGGCGTACAAGGGGGAGCTGGGTGGGAGAGGAGATATAAACAGGCTGCATGAGGCAGAGAAAGGGAAGAGGAATCAAATCTCAAAGCACAAAATTGGAGCTCTCTTAAGATACATCTGCATATACACATGCGCAGACATGTGAAGCTGACCTTCCTGGAGGGAGAACAGCAACACAGTGTGCTGGGGAGGGAGGTAAAGGGGTAGAGCATAGTCTAACCAGACATTTAATCTGACAGAGCATCAGAGCTGGGTTACGTTCCCCACGCTGTCCTGGTAGTAGCACCTAAAGAGAGGACAGACACTAACTCCACAGAGCAACACTAGGACCAGGACTAGTGTCTTTCTTCCACATCAGGGTCTTGCACTGCCAGGTTACAGTGATAACTGAAGGAGGAGGTGATAAGCGGCAGCCTTCTGGCCCAGAGGTGCTGGGGTGCCAAGCAGAGGGGAGACAGAAAAGCAGCCTTCCCCCCTTTGACATTCACACTGACCCAACTGTGTCAATGCTGCTTGTTAGCCCATCTGTCATGGTGCTGGTTCCTGCTGGGGCCCCAGGACCTGCAAAGGCTGCTGCCCTTGTTGTACCATTTATCTTCTCAGGTTGTTGGGACAACAGGACTGACAGTTCTATTAGTTATCCTGCAAGGCAGAGCCCAGACAGACCCCCAGAGAGAAGGACAGGGAGCAACCCCAGGAAACAGAAAGGGAACAGGAGGAACAACACAAGGCATGTGGCTCTCGGCTCCAAGGGCCTCCGGGAAACGCAAAGCAGCAGCACAATCTGAGAACTGAAAGCTTTGCAAGGAAGTATGCAGAGAAGAGCCCTGGAAGCTGAATAATGCTCTAGCTTATCATCTATCATCTTTCCTTAGTCAAGAATAAATTACTGTTATTAATGGGCAGGGGACAAAGTCATTCCCACTTTCGGGCTAACCTTTCACGCCCTTTTTGGGGATGTGACCAGGCTGGATGGTGGGACAGTGACATTTTAGACAAAACTAGACACTGGAGCCTGAACAAGCTGGTTTGCCTGCAACCCCAAAGCTCTTACAGGAAGAAGAATAGGCCATCATTCATTTGAGCTAGGATCAAGATAACTGTGTCCTCATTGGACTGGCACCACGGAGATCCAGACTACTCCTGCCCTAGCCCTGACTTACCTACAATCTTACTCTGGTAACCAGCCGTCTCCACAGTCTCCTGTCTATGAAGAGGAAGGAACATTGCTCTAACAACCTGAAGAAGAAAGTCATCCATACATACATGAAGCCTACATGTCCTAGAAGCAGCAGTTAGGTACCTGCATCTTTCTCTACCCCAGAAAAGGACCAGGATGTTTACTGGCGCTGATCATCAAGGCACTGACAGAACCAGGACAGGCCACAGGCATTAGCAGGCAGATGACTAAACAGGAGCATCCTGCAACTCCTCAGGACACATCAGGAAGTGGTGCTTCAGCAAGATGGCAAAAGAAGTGCCCTGCTCCCAAAGCTGCCAAAGCAAGAGGTCCTCCGACCAGTACAGCAACTGTTTCCTAGTGACACACAGCTGGAGGCAGCTCCTGACTCCCTGTCTTCGCTGGCTTTTGGGTAGGTATCTCACTGTGACTCAAGCTGCCCACCTGCCCTGTCGACATCTCCCGGAAAGCAGCAACCCAGCCAGCACTACGTCCAGCACCTGCCCTAGCAGCTCAGGATGCAGCCATGAGCCAGAGACCAAGCAAAGGCTTAGCAAAATGAAACACGCTGCAGGCAGGGAGGAGAGACAGCTCTTTAAGCAAGTCATCTCAATTGCCTTGAGAAAACAGATTGTTAAAACGACGGAAGTAAATGGGTTGCTTGAGCAGTCTCTAACAACTGCTTTCAGAAAAAGCTTCCAAGTAGGAGAGTTGACTGCAAATACTTATTAACTGCTCCTTCCTCACCTTCAAGATATGCGATACGTCTGTTTCCATATTTTGATATATTTTCATTAATCTTCTAGCTGATTACTTACTGTTTAATTCCTCAACCTGTCCAGAAAAATTGTCACCAAGCAACCCCCTAAGCACAACCTCAACTTCTGCACAGACAGGAGAGAAGTTACTCAAGCATCTATACCTATGAACACACGTTACCAGGGTTAGAACTGAAATGGCTCTTTTGACCACAGCCTCTCAAAAAGGTTGGTCTTATTTCAGAACGTGCATAGGAGTGTCAGTCACCCAATTGGTCGCTCATGACAGCCTCGAGCCAAGAGACCACAGGTCCCTCTAATTCAGCATCCTGTCCCCAACTGCAGCCAAACCTGATGCTAACAGAAAGAGCTTAACAGAAGGTAGAACACAATGGTCTTTTCCTGGACGTTTCTCCAGCTTCTAGCAGCTGGAGCTTATAAACTCCCAAGCTGTAAGTTGCTCTAGGGCTGTGTTTAGGTCCATTTAGGTCAAAGAGTTATCTGCCATGAAATTGCTGAATTCCTTTTTAAAGGCTCGTGATATTTTTGGCCTCCACAACATCCCAGGACAACAAGTTCCACGGCTGAATTACTTTCCCCGCGCACATAGCATATAATGCTGTTTGTTTTAAACTAGCAGCCTGATGTTTTCAGCAGGGAGCCCCGGCTTCTCGCGCTACAGGAAACAACAAACAATCATTTCCTAATCACCTTCTCAGCACTGCTTAGCATTGTATAGGTCTCTCTCACAAGCCCTCCTCGCTCATGCCTTTTCCAAGCTGGTGAGTCCTGATCTAGTCTACCCCCACATGAAAGCTCTTTCACGCATGCTTGGCACGAGGAACACCCCTACACATTTCTCGGAACTGCAGTACTACAGAGTTACATAAAACGCAGCTCCCTGCTCCAGCTAACCCCTTCTCCAGCACCCATATCAGTGTGAGCAATATGTTACACTGCGACAGTGGCTCTCCTTTGGGGCACCTCACTAGAGGTGCAGCGCTGTTCTTCTAAAGAACCTGAAGGCCTGTTTAATTTAAGCAGCACAGGAGAGAGAACAGGCAGTAAGAGATGCACAGGCAAAGGGTGCGCGAGAGGCATCCCTGCCCCTACATGAGTACAGAGCCTGCCACAGGCCACTGCTTCTTCAGCAGAGGTCAAAGATTTTGCCCTGAGCAAGCCTGTGCTGGAGGGACGCACAGCTCGTCATCTTCTGGCTACTTGGGCAGGGGTTTCTGACCAAGGGAGAGGCATCGTGCTGATGGCCAGACGCCCTATGGGCTTTCACAGCCAGCATCGCTCAGCTGGAAGAACAGAGCACCACCAGCCCTCCTTCCAGCAATCCTGTCAGGGTCACAGCAATGTTTCAACTAGAAATTGCTCTCCAAATACAGAAGTACAAAGACGTTTCCATGGCCTGCAGACTCCACCTGCCGCAGAGATCAGCCAGCCCGGGAACACATTTCGTTTTCAAAAGGAGCAACGTGCTGCTGAAACCCTGGTGTGCCACTGAGTCTTGGATTCTTCATGATTATCACCTTGCTTTAAGACAGCACACAGCACGGCTGGTGTTTGCAAGAGGAAATGGCCCTTTCTCCATACACTGCTGTTACAAAACACTTCATCACAAGGGTAGAACCAGCAGGATTCAAAGTAGACAGGATCACAGGAACAAACTGACAGGCATGGTGCATCCGATGGTCTTCATTCCCTGGAGAATCTCTCTTTTATCAGCTAAAGCACTGAAAAAAAGGGGTTGTAGCTTTCTATATACAGCAAGGACATTGCCTTGGTCTGGTGGCAGTTTCCCTATCATCAGAGCAAAGACACTGGGTCACAGCAATCAGATGTGTTTTGGCATCCAAGTGGCAGGACCCCCAGAGTTCTAAGCATGCAGCACCTCTGTGGAGTCCAGATTTGAAAACAATCTCTTTGCCACAAAAGCAGTCCCTCACTCACCTGTAGGCCAAATCCAGGTTTGTCAGCTAGCCACACACGCTCCACAGACACCTCCGATAAAGGGACCAAAATATTAGTCCTAAAAATCACAGACCAACATATCCTATGTAGTTCAATCCTAATCCAGCACTTGCAAAGCCCACCAGCAACTACAACAAAGCATCTCTTTCATCAGCATCCAAGCAGAAACCACACACCCAAAGCCTTGGGCCTGCTCATACAGCCCATGTAGCATCTCGACAGCAGAGATAAAACAGCAGCAGGCCTTTTCCACAGGCGCAGACCTCCGTCTCTCCCTCATCGCAATTGTGCGGTCCCAACGGCCTTAATTAACAGGCATGCCTTCTCGCAGGGAACTGCTCTATTGGAACATTTACATGTTTAACTCCTTTGGACAAGTTCACAGGCAAGCAGCTAATCCCCTCCCAGGTCTCAAAGTCATATCAATTTCCCTTTCGAAGCTGAGGTCTCTCCATCAGAGTTCTTAAACTAACGAGATGCACTGAGGCCTTCAACTCTGGGAATATCAAAGGCAGTGGGATTCAATTTCACTTGATTTTCATGTGCTTTTCCCTTTGGAATTAACACCAGGCAGCGTGCAACTTCTCTTCATCTTACCCACTAGATGCAATCTCCTTCTCAAGACAAACATGTCAAGTAAGGTGATGCTTTTACCCTAAACTGTCAAAGGCTTCTAAAGTTCTTTTTCGCTTTTTTCTCTATGAAGATAATCCACATCCTCATATTCACATCCACAAATGCAGTACATCTCCAAGACCAGTGGCACAGGGACTCAGGGCTGGCAAGTAGTGCAGCCCCTCCTGCTTCTTACTTGTGTGGATTACATGCTAGGAAAACCAGTGCGTGGTCACAGGCTCAGAGAGGATTTGTAGGTCAGTCTTTCCTACGATCATTAAGAGGTTACAGATCTCCCGCATTTCTGAGCGAATAGCAGGCATGAATCACCCCGTATTCTTCCCAAAGGCAGCCCGTGAGTCTTCTTACCACGTCAAATGCCCCTTTGCCTCTTGCTTCTGCTGCTACCTTCCCAGGCCAACCTAATCAGAACACAGCACTGATGGTCACTCCGTAGGCATGCCGCGTTCCTGCACCAGCCAAGCC